CCAATGGACAAGGATAGAAGAATGAATAACTGGTTAAAAGTCGGAATAAGAAATACCTTTACAGGAGATGGGACAAGTATGGATAGCTTCCTTAGTGGCAGCGTCCGCATGCTCATTTAAAGAGATATCAATATGGCTGGGAACCCAGCAAAACTCCACTGTTTTAAATCTACTAGAGATAAGAAACAGCCAATGTTGAATTCTCAACTACAACTGGATGGACAGGATTAAGGGACTCCAGAGCCATGAAGGCACTACGAGAGTCAACTGCAACCACAAAGGAGGACTGACAGCGAGAAAGCAGGACACGAAGAGCATAGAGAATAGTATAAAGTTCTGCCGTGAAGATGCTAGTCTCCAGAGGCAGGCGGCACATATAGGTATGGTCAGGAAAAAAACAGAGTAGCCTACACCGTCTGCAGACTTAGACCCATCGGTGAAGACGGAAATGGAGTGGGAGTGGGAAGAAAAGTGTTCTTGGAAAAGGTGTTTCAGAATTGTAGGAGAGGTAAAAGCTTTAGTCACGTGGGTCAGGGTTTTACAAAATTTAGGAAGGGACTTTCCACGGGGCAAGGACGGAACAACACGAAGAGAATATTGGTAACACTAACCGAAAGAGAATTTTGTAGATGAGACAACCGGACAGAAAGAGGGAGGTGATAAAGGGGAACAGGGACCACAGGAGGGGTAAAAGTCAAAGCACGACACAGGCAAGAGTGAGGGTACTGTAAGGACCTCACAAGGTAGTGAAGACAGTAGCGATCACGGCGGTCTTGGAGAGACAGGAAGCCAGTTACAAGCTGAGGGTAGGCATCGAATGAAAGGCACCAGAGCCGAGGTACAACCCAGTATGGTGCAGAGTATCAAGACGGTGAAGAGTAGAAGAAGCAGATGAGTAAGCAGGGCAAGCATCCGCTTCTGAAGAAATATGGGACAAAACCTTAAGTAGGTTAAGGCAACTCGCAGGTAAGAGATATGGGGTGACCAAGACAAACGAGTGTCAAAGATTAACCCCAAAAGCTTAGCAGAATCTTTATACACAAGAGGATGACCATAAAGAGACAAAGAGGGACGAAGAACGACCTATTTCCGAGTAAAAGTCATAGCACAAGTCTTTGTAGCAGAGAACCTGAAGCCATGATTGGTGGCCCAAGACAACATGCATCAAACGAAAGTTGAAGCCGCCGTTGAAGGAGAGGCGAATCATCACCTCGGCAGCAAAGGGTAAAATCGTCGACATAGAGAGCAGAGAAGATGCCAAAAGAAAGGGAGGAAAGAAGACCATTGAGGGCAACCAGAAAGAGAGTAGTGCTCAAAACACTACCTTGGGGTACACCTTCGTATTGCTGAAAAGAGGCAGAGAATGGGGTACCAAGCCTTACTCTAAAGGAACGAGGAGAGAGGAAGCTCTGGAGGAAGAGAGGGAGATTACCACAGAGGCCAAACGAACGAAGTTGGGATCTCCAGGTAGTGTCATAAGCCTTTTTCAGGTCAAAAAGGACAGCAACAACAGAGGTCTTTGCAGCAAAAGCAGTACGAATATAGACCTCCGAGTTCGCCAAGACATCAGTCGTGCTGCGGCACTTGCGAAAACCAAATTGAGAAGGGAAGAGGTGGTGATAGTGTTCCAAGAACCACATCAGACGAACATTAACCATTCGTTCCAAGAGTTTGCAGACACAACTCGTGAGGGCAACAGGGCGGAATTTCTCAGGGGATGTCCCTAGAGACCCGTTTCTAAATAAGGAGAACAACCACATCGAACCAGTCCTCAGGGACTGACGATGACTTCCAGACCCGGTTATACAGATTCAGTAAATACTGAGACATGCATGGAGGGAGATGGCGAAGCATCTCATAATGAATATCATCTGAGCCCGCTGCCATAGAACCGCAGAGGACCAGAGCAAACTGAAGTTTGGGGAGAGAGAAGGGATCGTCATAGGGAAGTCGGAGACGAGTGTGGAAATCTAAGGGACGAGATTCAAGAACAGGCTTATGAAGAAGGAAAGATTGAGGAGGATGAGAACCGGAGCTAACAGTCGAAAAGTGGGAACCCAGTTCGGTCACAACCATCAATGGATCCGCCACAAGAGCACCACGGAGGTTAAGGACCGGTGAGACATCTGGAACAAACTTTCCCGCTATCTTGCGGATTTTTTTCTAAATCTGTGGCAGAGGAGTATCAGACGTAATGGTGGAGACAAGATTTCCAACTCCCAAGTTTAGCTATACAGATGGCCCTATGGGCCATCTCACTCGCCTTCCGAAACAAAATAAAAGAATCAGCCGTCTGCCGGCGTCGGTGTTTCTTCCAGGCTGCACCCTTACAGTGGACAGCCCGAGCACAGTCCGTATTCCACCAGGGAATGCACTTCCGCGTGCCATGGGAGGTAGAGCGAGGAATAGCGGAGCGCCCTCCTCAGTCATGAAAAAGAAGGGCGCGAGGGAGAGGTCGGAAAGAGAGTAGCACAGAGTGGTGAAGAGATTCTAATCATCCTTGGCAAACTGCCACCTAGGGAAGGAGAGGGGAGGATGAAAAGAGAAAAAGGAGACAAGGATGGGGAAATGGTCACTGTTATGGAGGTCATCAAGAACCTGCCACGTGAAATCAAAGTAAAGAGACAATGAGCAGAGAGAAAGATCAAGACAAGAAAGGGTACGAGTTCGCGAGTCCACATGAGTGGGTTCACCAGAATTCAGAAGAGACAGGGAAGAAGAAAGGACAAATGGTTCGAGAAGGCCACCTCAGAGGGTATGCCGACAGTTGAAGTCGCCCAACAGGGGCACAGGCTTTGGCAGAGTCCAGTAGTAGGTGCTTAAGATCGGGAAGAGAAATTGGGACATTTGGGGGGAGATAAATGGAACAGACGGTATACCATTTACTCACAAAGACATGGGCTGCAGAGCATTGGATAGGCAATTGAAAAAGTAAGGGGACGAAGGGGAACATCAGTACGAATCAAAAGACCAGTAGAGTTATGGGCCCCAGCAAAAGCTGAGGAGGGGGGGGGGGAAGGAATAACCACGGAAGCGACCAGGACGAGCACCAAGCATCGACTCCCGAAGACAAACACAAAGTGGTGAAAACTGCGTAATCAGAAGTTGGAGTTTATGGAAGTTGGCATAAAAGCCACAAATATTCCATTGAAGAATAGACACTCAAAAGGAGAGAGGACAGCAATAGAGAACTATGAAGAAACAATGACAAAAAAGAACACAACATATTAAAGAAGATCAGTCAGCAAAATCAGGGTTAGGGGGCATGGGTAAACTTAGTATGGATGGAGTTAAGGGAGCGGGAGGACAGACCAGAGGCGGACAGAAGGGGGCCGGAGTAGGAGAGGGAGGAGACAACCGAGAGGGGCGGTCAAGGACAGCTGGAGGAGGGGCAGAAGGCAGGGAGCGCACCTCAGCAAGGGCAGCAACTGAGAGGGGAATCAGGGGCTAAAGAAACCTCCATATCTGGGACAGGGGGTCCGACCACCGAAATGGGAGGGGGCAAGGAAGAAAGCGATGCCTTCTTACCTGCCGGAGAGGAGGAAGGAGCCAGGCTTACATTTCTGACTCGGAGACAAGTATGCTAGCAACAACGTACTGGGCGACAGACTCGACTGTCTCAACAGGAGAAGAACGGGAACGAACAACATGAAGATTGCTGGGAGGATGATGGACAACAGCCTGGACAGACAGGCAGCATGGAGGGCCAAGAGACTAGGGGGAGGGTTGGGAAGAAGGTTAAGGGGAGATGGAAAAGAAGACACAGGAGACATGGCAGACTGGGTAGGAAAGGGGGGAAACTCTAGATGGAGAACCAAGATGGGGACCCCTCGGGACAGAAATAAAAGGAACAGGAGAAGAGGCGGTGGGCGTGTCCGGGTCTAAGGCCTGGAAATGGTTGTGAGACTGAGTAAGGTGGGAAGGACGAGGAGAGGTAGAACGCAACACACGAGTATAAGATACGCTAGTGAAAGCGTTGAGACGGCGAACTTGGCGTCTCGCTTCAGGAAAAAACAAACGATCTTGGCGTTTCAAGTTGAGGACGGCTTCAACTTGAAACTCGAAGGGGTTGATGGCGACAACCACAAGGGGGTCGAGTGAACGAGTCCACCTGGAGAACAGAATGCCTTGCACTTCAAGGATATGTTTAATATCCTCGTGGCAGTCTTTTGGGTCCCTAACACCAGTTGCAACATGGTGCGGGAGGAGAACAGTGCCAACACTGGCATTTAACCGAGCGTTTTTGGAAACCCGAACAGGGGTCTCCCCAATGCTGGATGACGCGGCTAAGCGGGTAACTGCATCCTGAGAAGGAACAGCAATGACACACGTACCGAAACGGGTGGGGTTAAAAGTAACAAGAGGCATCTACCGAATCAACGAGGTGTTTATGGAGGGAAAAATCGCCAGGAGGTGCAGAATCCAGATGGGTGAGATCAAAGTATTTTGCCCACGTAGCAGTACCAAACATGGCATGGTACATATTAGCATGGGAAGACATTGTGCGAGTGCGGCTGTGGTGGGGACGGCGTTGAGAACTCCCAGAGAGAGAGAGGGGAGGGGGGGGTTAAAAGGCACAGTAGTTACAATGACAGAGCTGTGCCATGGGACGAGGTGGTCACCACTGGGGGCTTGGGGCTCGACCCTACCACAGACGAGGGAGGGGAGCGGGGGAGCTTTGGGGGGAGAGGGAATAGTCTGGGCTGGGCCCAACGTAGCAAGGGCTACAGAACCCAGTCTTCCACCACAGTCCGACTCAGGGGCCTGGTAGCCCACCCCATGAGCCTGGGTAAGAGAGGTCATTTCATATGCCATGCAGAATTCATTCTAAAAGACTGGGGCCTGGAACCAAGGGATACCACCTACCAGGGAAGCCAGGAAGACCAAGCGCGGGCCAGTGCAGAAAGGGGGTGCGTAGTCACCAGCAGTGCACCCTTCCCTTTTTAACAGGGGAGTCCTACTGCTTCGTCTATTCTCCCGAACTGGTGCAAAGACCTCATTTTCCCTTTCGCCCCAGCCTGGACACCCAGCCATCCACTTAGGGCGACCTCTCCAGCGGTCAGTCCAGTGACTCCCAAGAACCCTACGTTTGTGTCCATTCACACATACAACTCCCAAAACAAGGTTATAAGAATGTACAGTATAGTGCTAAGAGGCTATCTAGAGATACACAAGGTTATAAGAATGTATAGCACTAAGAGGCCATCTAGAGATACACAAAACAAGGGTATATATATGGTGCAAAATGTGCATACCACATGATAGTACATATAACACATCAGAGCATGATAAAACAGTGTGTATGTGTGCGCGCACACACACGAACATTAGAAAATGCACACTTACACATACACTACAAAAATTACATACTGCAAAAGTTCAGTAATCCGAATGAAATCACACTCATTGTTTCTGAGTAAATGATGAGAACCACCAGATTATGGTACAATAAAAAATAGTTTCAAGTTTGTTAATTTTTTAGGCATTCCTGGCAAGAAATTCGACAAACTGAAATTGGGGCAGGTCACCGTACACTTCGGATTACTGAGCGTAGACAATACTAATAATTATCTAGCAGCGTATGCCTGCTGGACTAATCCCACTAACTGTTACAGATAAGTCGGCAAATGAATATAATGTTAAAGATTCAAGACTATTTACTAGGGTATGAATGCTATAATTTCCATGCAAAATAGACGAGATACATATTTGTTGACATGATTTACTAACCAGACAGTTTCAATAATTTGAAGTATCCTTAGAACTGAGGGTGGGTCAAATATGTCTGGATTAGTTAAATATGTCCTAGGGTGGACCAAATGTCCTGGGGGTGAGGTCAAATATGTCCTGGGGGTGAGGTCAAATATGTCCTGGGGGTGAGGTCAAATATGTCCTGGGGGTGAGGTCAAATATCCTAGGATGGATCAAACATGTCCTGGAGTGGGTCAAACGTCTCAGGGTTAGTCAAATACGTCCTGGGATAGGTCAAAATGTCCTAGGGCAGTTAAATATGTACTCTAGAGACCTTTTGGTGGGTCCAGGGGCCACTTACCTATGGCCGAGTTGACAGCCTGACCAACCAGACTGTTTGTTCTCACTGCTCAAAAATCTATGTAGTCAGTACAGTCTGAGCAAATACATTGTTGGTATTCAGAGTTCGTTTCCCCTTCCCACGATTAGGTGTTTGTTAGTAATTCTTTTTTACATATCATGGGAAGAATGTTGAAAGGTCTTGTGTCTTGTATATACAGTATAGTTATCTTTTAGTGTGCTTGTCACCCTTACTTAAGTAACTTTTTGTGTGTTCACACAGACGGCACTCTGAGCCTGGCTTCTGTGGGCTACGTAACCTAAACTTCAAACTGGCATGTCTCGTATGGCAAAATATATACAACCTCCAGCCTTCCTTTTGTATATAGTCACTTTAATGCCACTCGAGACCTGCTTTTCGTACAAAGCCAAACACTACTTTATTTAGCCTGCCTATCATATGGGGCAATACAAGGCTGCCCCCCCCCAAACCTGCTTTTCACATGGGGCCCCCACAAAATGTTACCCGAAGCCTGCCATCGCATGGGATCAAACACCATCGATATGCCAAAATCCCAACTATTCAAAGTGATGCCTTCCTAGTCTTTCATACTTGTATGTGAGTACAAGGAAGTGATTAATTCACAACTCATTTGGTTACTCAAATGTGTCCTGGGGCCTATTTAAATGTTTTTTTCGATATACACAAATGTGTCATGTGGTGGACCAAATGTAGCAGTGTATAGTAAACTCCAATTACTATATGACTTCTCCATTTGGTTCATTGTGTACTACACTGTAAAGTGCCCATAACAGCCTTTACAGTGTACAATAGTTTTTAGTGTATATTTGGCTAATATTGTATAATACAGCATTTAGGTATGAATTGGGTCCAAACTAATCTGGGGAACGGGGAGTTTGCTGCAGATTTTTGTCTAAAGACGAATGTGCCCTCAACCAGTCACGTGAAGCGAGGTGAATAGCTTTCTTCCACGCCATTCAAGCGCTTCATCTTAATTCACCGCGTTCACTAAGGCGAGTCAACATCCAACAATTGTGTTTCCATTCACTCTCTGGACTCGATACAGTATTTTGTCTTTTTAAACGTGCGGGAGGGTAAAGGAGCTTGACCGACACCATAGCGCCTGGTATTTTACGGGTATTTTACGGATTTTACATGTCGCGGGTATTTTACACAATTACATTTCTCCTTGGATAATGCACTACAATACACAGTACAAACTACAGTGTACTGTACTTGCATTAATGGTACAAATACTCTCTACATTACAGTACAAAAAAAAAAAAATTGTGTACAAGTTCATATTGTAATTACAAAATGTAAAAATGCCAAAAACTCCAGTTTTGAAGAACAATTGCTTCAATTTTTCAAAACAAATATTTTCATAATTAAGCAACACATATCAGGGTGAAAATTAATTACAAAACACACACTCGTACATACAGTATTTCACATTCCGGACCAAGAAACATTTACTTGGTAAAGTTATTAAAATGCAATAACAATAGAGGGGTAGCAAGTAATAACAAACATGATTACACACAATCATGGTAAACATATTGGATGATATATTGCATGTGCAACGAGCTGCATGATAACTGTAATCTTTATCATATGCGACTGCTCGCTCTCTAAATGTATTACTGTAGTTTTGCTACTGTATTTTGTCTTCCTATTGTAGTACTATAATACTACTACTTTTAGCAATACACATAATGCCATGTGTATAAACTTGTATTTCCCCAATACAATATTAATGCATTTTACCAGCATGGTAAACAGGGATATATATATATATATATATATATATATATATAGAATAAAATAGGATTTAATACAATTTAAACACTATACACGTATAGTTAAATGCAATGCAACCAGAGGTGGTACCTCCCCCCCCCTTTTTATATATACCTATGTGTGTGTGAACTCGGATACTGGTACAGTGTATACACCCACCACAATACAAGGAGTAACATACTGTGACTATTTGGGGAATAATGCTCCAAAACTTACCACCACTCCTTGAACAGTGCTCTACTTAAAATCTGAAATTTCCAACCATTTTGAGCAACAGGTAAAAACAACAACAAAACATTTTTTCTAATAAGAGAGAGACGCCAATTCCAGCTTGAAATTGTCTAAATAGCAAACACGGATGTTGACTCGTGCGAGAGTCCTGCTACAAAGACTACGGAGTCACGTTTGTGTGGATGGCTGTGGAGTTAAGCCATATGTCTAAGTATTGCACATTGCAGTAAACAATGCACCAAACTATTGGACAGATGAACACATAGTTCAACATTTAGATGAACACATAGTTCAACATTTAGATGAACACATAGTTCAACATTTAGATGAACACATAGGTCATAATTTAGATGAACATACAGTTCAACATTTAGAGGAAGAGACGAACTGTTCCACTTGGTAACACAACATGGCTGTGCTTGAATCACTGGTTACGAGAGTATCACACCTGCCAGAACTGCTTTTTGGTTCGTAATGGTACATAAAACACACACAGTAGTTGAATGTGTATCTACAACTACACGTTATATATGTAAACATGTTATGTATACGGTGTATACAATGTTATAGCACCAAAAATAGTATATTTTATGCTAAGAATATAATATTGTTCTCATATTGGTGACAAATATATTTGTGCATACTGATTCTGTGATATAAATGTTTCTATCGACAGTCCAATAGATAATTGCGCTGAAAAAAATCCACCAATAAAACATTTAAAATATGATTATACAACTAATACACCAGCTTATTAAATGCACATGGCAACCCTCCCCCCTGGGAGTGATCCCACCTGAAGATTATTTCACGAGCGACAAAGATTTGATGCCACCATCGAGACTTCAGTGCTTCATTCATGCTGAAGTAATGGGCAGTGTGGGCAGTGTTGGAAATGATTACAGAGGCCTAAATGTACACAAAACATTGTTTTGTGTACACACAAACTGCAAACACATTTGCAGCTGTGCCTCAGACTAAGTGAAACATAACCTTCGAGAATATCCACAAAAACAAATTACTGTATCAATTATCCATTCAACAGATCTCAAATAAAAGTGCACACTCATACACTCACAGACGCAGGAAGATTAAATGTTAAGAAATATTATCAAATATTCCAACATCCACAAACACAAACCTTCCCACACCAAGATACGACGTAATAGTTATTATTTTATTGTATAAGATGGTCTTTACCGCTCGGGACAGAGGGGCATCAGTATACCGCAATCCGTTATAACTTTTCTGACGATTTTGTCAGGCATCTTGTATACCTGCCTGAGAACACCAACCCCATTTGTGACAGCTCCAAAACCGTCACTATCTACGGTGTCGCCGGCGTAATAGAGGAATATTTTGAAACCTGCTAATTTGTACGTGTTTTCTCCGAGTGGGATAGCCGAGAGGAGTCCTGGATGGATCTTTTTGGGGTAATTAATACGGTGGCTATAAATAGCATTCTTAACACTGCTGCTGGTGGTGGAGGCACTCGCATCCCCATCGTACTCTCCGATCTCTTCTCCTGCTCGGAGCTGGATGATGTCATCATTTTCGTCACTGAGATCGTAAAAATGACGCAGTTCCAAACCTCTGTAACTGGTTCCATATGCACCAGTACAAAAATCCATAAATGTAAGAGCTTGCAGTTCGTGAAGATAAAGCCACAAGAATATGCGCCCCTGAGGTCGGTTGTCAGTTTTAACATCGAGGAATGCTCTTCCATTAGCCATTTCAGCAATCACTCTATCAAACTGCAAAGAAACAAGACAAAGAAAACAAATTCAAACATTTGCAATTAAGCATCCAGCGTTTTGACAAATGTTAAAACAAAAGAGATGTTTATCTCTCAGACAACGGCTATGGAGAAATGGTCACACCCACCTAAGCACAAAAACTAAAAAAATTATTTTTCATTATAGAATTATTAATTTGTATACAAAATGTAAGAAAAATACAAAAATAACCGAGTATGTATTGAGTCAATTGGTGGATGTGCTCTGCAAGGCTGCGTCTGGCACTTATCAACGCCTGGTGCTCGACTTTGCTGACGCTTCCTGTTTTATCATCCGATATTTCACTGATTGTTTTATCACTTGTTTTCCTCTAGAGATCATCAACAGATGATTACCACAGCAGCCTAAGAGCTAAACTACACCTGACTGAACTAAATGAATTCTGTAATTCATAACTTAAACCAATAACTACCAATAGATCCCCTTAACATCCTTTGGAAGCAACTGGGCGGTGGCACAAACCCGACAAAAACACATTGAATGTAAGGAAATGCTACTTTCTAGAAGGGCACATCAGCTCTAGAGGTCCATAATAGCCTACTGGAGACCACAAGTCAAACCCTAGGTTTCCCCCCCCCCCCTCCCTCGACAGAGCTGCAGGGAGCAGGGAATTCTTCCTCGACCTCACTAGACAAATAAAGCCCCAGAAAAAGCAAGCAAAACAAAATGGACAACTGCACGGTTTAAAGAAAGTAAACTAACAACGCAGCAAATGACTATAAATGATCTCCCCTTGGTAGTTAGAATATACTCCCTATACTCAGAGTTACAGCTGGCCACCAACTGGGACTTGCTCTAGTTCACCACGAACTTGAACCTGATACGCTGTTAAACAACCGACCCTGGCTTGTAGACATGCACACCAGATGGGAACCCAAACAATCCTGTCATTGAGGTAGGCCAAGACATTAACCTTCGAATGACATAGCAGGGTCACAAACACTTGCACTAACCTGGTCAATATCCGAGGAGCCACATTCAGAAGCCCAGACACACCCCAAAAGCAGTAAGCAAAATGCCCCACAAAAACCTAATCACTTCCCAAACCTAGGATGAATTGGGACATGCCAGTATGCATCCCAGAGACCCAGGGATACCATTCAATAACCTGTCTGCAAAACCAGATGGACCTGAACTAAAGTAGACATGAGAAAGGCTGGGCATGGAATGAAATGGTTCAGTCCGAGAGATTGAGAATGTACGACAGGCCTTCAGAGTCCCGTTGGGGACTGGGAACAATTAGGACACCCACCGAAGAGAGGTAGTCAACTCGACTACCCCAAAGTCCACCCACTGAAGAGAGGTAGTAAACTTGACTACCCCTCCCAAATCAAGAAGCCTGAACCAGAGTAGCAGGGTGAACTTCTTATCTGAATCCACTGACAAAAAAAAAAAAAAGAGGGAGAGAGGCTACAACCCAAGAACAGCAGCCTACCTTGACTAACCACAGGCAAGGCCCAAACCCAAGACGACTGCCCTCGAGCAGCGAGAAAGAACCCCTCTGGAAAAAGAACTGAACCAAGGGGCTGGAAAGCAACCACCGTAGCAGAGAGCACACTTGAGAGACAGCTGCCTCAGTAACAAGCAGAAGGGGGAAAAAAAGAGGGGAGGTGGCACAGTGCCCATGGGAAGGGAAGGCACAGTGCCCATGGGAAGGGAAGGCACAGTGCCCACGGGAAGGGAAGGCACAGCACCCACAATAACATCTCTGTCATTGTATAGACTAGGATAGAGTGCTCTGGATGCGGTGTCCAAGATGGCCACACCCTCTGCCACTGTCAAAGTGTGTAGAATGCCATTATTTTGAATAATATTAATTAGGCAGTAGTGTAATGTGTCCTAGTTCAGTCCGAGTACAATACAGTATTACTGTTCATCTTTCAAACTTGTAAAAGTAGTTGCGGTAATTAACAGTTTGTTCTGAAGCCATTCTAAGTCGTCTTCAAATTGGCGCCGGTTATGTGTTTGTAGTGTGGCAGCACTTTGTATTATGTGTTTGTAGTGTGGCAGCACTTTGTATTGTGTGTTTGTAGTGTGGCAGCACTTTGTATTGTGTGTTTGTAGTGTGGCAGCACTTTGTATTGTGTGTTTGTAGTGTGGCAGCACTTTGTATTGTGTGTTTGTAGTGTGGCAGCACTTTGTATTGTGTGTTTGTAGTGTGGCAGCACTTTGTATTGTGTGTTTGAAGTGTGGCAGCACTTTGTATTGTGTGTTTGAAGTGTGGCAGCACTTTGTATTGTGTGTTTGAAGTGTGGCAGCACTTTGTATTGTGTGTTTGAAGTGTGGCAGCACTTTGTATTGTGTGTTTGTAGTGTGGCAGCACTTTGTATTGTGTGTTTGTAGTGTGGCAGCACTTTGTATTGTGTTTTTGTAGTGTGGCAGCACTTTGTATTGTGTGTTTGTAGTGTGGCAGCACTTTGTATTGTGTGTTTGTAGTGTGGCAGCACTTTGTATTGTGTGTTTGTAGTGTGGCAGCACTTTGTATTGTGTGTTTGTAGTGTGGCAGCACTTTGTATTGTGTGTTTGTAGTGTGGCAGCACTTTGTATTGTGTGTTTGTAGTGTGGCAGCACTTTGTATTGTGTGTTTGTAGTGTGGCAGCACTTTGTATGGCTGGGCCGAAACAATCACCAAAATCATTTAATACTTATAATTATAATGAATTATAATGTTGCAGCGGCGCCACAGTAGTTGGCTAAAAACCAACCCAGCTTCCATAAACAACAGTACCAAAACAATTAGTGGTGGAATGTAAAAATATTGACTTATACACTCTCCCTCAAAAAAAAGTTGGCATTTTGTACTATTGCAACTTCAAATGGCATGCCAGAAATCCTGAACAGTAACTTTACAAACTAACCTGTCCTAGGTCGAAATAAGCAAGTCTAGGCCTAATATACGTCATCTTAAGTAAACAGATACATTATACGTACTTGGTTTAGGTTTGGTTGTTGCCTTCTTTATTGGGTCCATACAATAGTAGTAACACAAAATGTTTTCTTATTGGGCACAACAGTGTTTTTAAACATTAGGCCAACCCGTACTGTAAGCATTATCTTTCTAGATGGCAGGTAAGGCAAAAAGCACATCTTGTGTCCCGGTTCTTAAGATATGGAATCTAAAAAAAAAAACAGCATTGAATGTAATATAACGCCATTTTCTGGGTGATTCCCGGAGGCTCCTCGGAGCTATCTGGGCTGACATGCTAATGTCAGACTTCGGCAATCAGTCAAGTGTACATAGTTCTGTGGGCCTACCGGGGACCATGAGCCAGAACCTGGCCCCACTCACAGAGGCACGAGGAGCCATGGCCTATAGAAACCCCAGTGTGGTTGGAAACATTCTATGTCTGCCATCGACCGGGCTTGGCACCCAGAAAGGTAGGCATCCCAAAACAAACCCCCATTCGGGTGAAAATTGCTACAAAAAGCTGAACAAGAGAATAGAACTGCCCCCAAACAGAAATGAGCAAACAAGTATGACGTCACATGTTACTGTCTGCGCAGCTTCCCCCTCCCCAGGAGAGGGAAGGGGGAGCTCCAAACACCCACACCCCAGTTCTGAGGCTGGATATCAAAAACACACGAAAAAACGCCAACCGGAGGGAGGGAGGGTTGCCGGGGAGCCTCTGGGACTCGCCCAGAAAATGCCATTTCATTACATTCAATGCAGGTTATCTAGGGGGAGCCCCATTGGGTAGGTAGCTCTTGGGAGCCAAAGATGAAAACAAGAGGGACGTGACCCGGAAGGCGGAAGTCGCACAAACCCCAACGCGAAGCAGACAGAAAACTGCAACTGTCAACCCAAGGCCACACAGGCCCGACATGGCCCAGGAACATCAACGAAGGAATGCAGAGCCAACCTACGAACGACTTGGGCACAGGGACAGACAGCAGGCTGGCAGAGCTGAACCACCCTGCGGACGACCCGAAAGAACTGCCTCCCGGAACAGGGAAGAAGGGAACCCGGAACAATCCAAAGCGTGGACCCGGTCACGGCAGCCATGGCACGCCAAGCACGGCGAAGTGCCGCAACCGAACACAACACACGATGCGCCCCCGGCCAGACCAGCCAAGCATCAACAACCCAAGGACTTCCCCAGAAAGCAGCCATGCCAGTCTTCACCAGAAAAGGAGACGAATAAACCTACCAGCCTCTGATAACAAGCCAGAACCGAAGGGGCCACAACAAACCGAGGAGAAGAGAAGAGCGCACGCAATTCAAGAACCAGGACAGCTCAAGCGGCGTAAGAGCAGGCTTGCTAAGCAGTGCAGAGGCAACTCCAAAACCAAAGCAACCCGGAGCGGCTCCGCTAGCGCCGCACGAGACAAGGCAACAGTATGTGTCAAGATGACGGCCCTGAACTTCCACAAGAAAAGGACAAGACCATGCCATCCAAACGGAGCAAACCTACACAGGGACAAAAAAGGAAAGTCCGCCTAAAACCCCCACACCGCCGCCAAGATGAAGCACGCAGGTGGGACACCATCAACGAAGCCACCTGACCACCAACAGATGGCGAGAGACTCGAGGCAGAACCGAACCAGCCCCGCCATGGACCGAACGAGCATAGGAAGAGGCGGAGCTGCGGAAAAATCTCTGATGCGGTCACCGAGCAAGCAGAGCCGGAAACCCAAGCCGGCAAGGAATGAGATGGAACGTCTGCCGTACAAAAAACTTCCCAATGCTAGTGAGCTTGCCAGAAGATCGAAGACACCGTGGTTCCGAAGCGAGACTCTTGAGAAGTGACACCACGAGATCTTGAAAATTCCAACTGGTAGGGTAAGCCAGGAAACCATGAACCCAAACCTGGCAAGCCGGGAAAAAAAACACAGGGGCAGTGGAAAAGCAGGGAACTGAACATGGACAAAGTCCAGCCTAGCAGTAGGAGAGCCAAGAGGCCCATACTAAAACACATAACATTGTGTAGGAGAGAATGAGAAAAAATGGAAAAATAAAA